TTTCTCTGTGGCCCATGGCGTCCAAACCACGCGGTGTCTACGGTGAGATCATGTTATGAAACCGGGATCTGAAAGAGTCAACGTTCCGCGCTGGCAAAGTCTTCAAAGTTCACTCAAAGGTTCGACAAATCACAAGTGCCCCGTACAAATATCGTATCCGATTCTGGCATCTTCAATGCCTCAGTGATATGATTAGTGTCGACAGACGCGCGTCGTGCACCATTGAATGAAACTTCTGTATTTCAACAAATTTCACACGGTCATTTGCAAGCTTTTGCGTGCAGGCATCAACTCTTTTAGCCCGCTAATCTAGGTCAAGCTCGTTATTGATGTGTTGGACCTCAGCGTGAACATCGAGAATAATGGTAGTCGTGTAGGGTACACCTACAGTGCATTCCCATGACACATGCGCTCACATGATTTGCCTGCTATAACTGCTATAACGCAGTTAAATAGTGCATTCTTGTCAAGCCACACAACATGTGATTGCGAAAAGATGAAAAGTAATGTGCTTTTATAATCATAAGGTACCCTTTTTTTGTTATCCTGAAATATGCTCCCCCAATTGAATGACAGATTATATCGAGCCATGGCTCGCAGCCGGTCGCGCTCCCGTTCTCGAATTGGACGCCACCACAGTCGCCGACGAGCACGCAGCTCGTCCACCTCATCCTCTGGCTCATCATCTCTATCGCGTTCTCGCTCTAGATCGCGCAGGGCATCAGCACCACGCAAGAAACTGCGGCGCAAATCGCACGTGGATAAGGATGACACAATGCTCTTGGATAGAACACGAACACGAGATGCAGCATCAGACGATGTCACGCCTCCTCGTCGTTCAAGAGATAAAAAAGGGGATGTGACGCCGCCACGAGGTCCATTGAAACAGGGCGACAAGAAGGATCTCTCGGACACTAAGCCAGTTAGGAAGAGGACACTTTTGACAGATGCCCGTGCCAGTGGACGCACGGGTGGTGTGTATATCCCACCCTTTAAATTGGCGCAGCTTAGAAAACTAGAGGAGAAAAACCTCGAACCATCTTCAGAGGAGACGCAGCGTCGCACGTGGGATGCACTTCGGAAAAGTTTAAATGGACTCATTAACAAGGTGAATGTGGCAAATCTGAGCAACATTTTGCCTGAGCTATTCCAAGAAAATTTGGTGCGCGCCCGTGGATTGCTGGTTCGAGCCATCATGAAAGCGCAATTGGCGTCTCCAGGTTTTACGCACATCTACGCGGCTCTCGTGGCCGTAATCAATACCAAGATGCCTGAAATTGGTGAGTTGCTGGTCAAGAGAGTTGTGTACCGTTTTCGTCGAGCTTTCAAAAGAGGTGACAAGGTGGTAGCCATTGCACTGGTAAGATTTATCGCCCATCTTGTCAATCAGCAAGTAGTGCATGAGCTCCTCGCACTCGAGGTGTTAACACTGCTTTTGGCCAATCCAACAGATGATTCAGTAGAAGTTGCAGTGAACTTTACAAAGGAGAGTGGACAAATTCTGGCTGAATTGTGTCCGGAAGGACTGCGCGCTATCTTTGAGCGTTTTCGAGGCATTTTGCATGAAGGAGAGATTGATAAGCGAGTGCAGTACACGATTGAAGGTTTGTTTGCAATTCGGAAAGGCGGATTCGCCGACTATCCAGCTGTGCATGAACAGTTGGATCTTGTTGAAACGGGGGATCAAATCACACACGAAACAACTTTGGAAGAGAACATTGATTGTGAAGACAAACTGGATGTATTTCGTTTTGATCCAGACTATGAGAAAAATGAGCAGATGTGGGCTGCTATAAAAAAGGAGATTTTAGGGGAATCTGACTCAGATTCCAAGTCCTCTAGCGGTAGCGAAGAGGATGACGATGAGGAAGATGAAGATGAATCGGAACAGCCGATACCTGCTGACAAAAGCATGGCGATTCAAGACTACACGGAACAGGATCTTGTTAATTTACGCCGCACAATCTACCTTACTATCATGTCTAGTATCACTCACGAAGAATGTGCACACAAACTGATGAAGCTCAATATTCGCCCCGGTCAGGAAAAAGAGATATGCCTGATGTTGATCGAGTGCTGCAGTCAGGAACGGACGTACTTGCGCTATTACGGACTACTTAGTGAACGGTTCTGCTTAATCAAGCGGGAGTATCAGGACGCGTTTGACGAATGCTTTGCTGAACAATACTCGTTGATTCACCGCCTTGAAACGAATAAACTTCGTAATGTGGCAAAACTTTTTGCTCACCTTCTCTTTACAGATGCGCTTCCATGGACAGTGTTCGAATACATTCATTTAAACGAGGAGGAGACGACATCATCCAGCCGAATTTTTATAAAGATTTTGTGTCAGGAGCTATCTGAGCACCTTGGTTTGAAGACATTAAAAGAAAGATTTTTCGATGAAATCATGCAGCCGACGTTTGCTGGTCTCTTTCCGAGGGACAATCCACGCAACACTCGCTTTGCTATAAATTTCTTTACATCTATTGGTCTTGGTGGGCTTACCACAGGCTTACGAGAGTACCTCAAGATTGCGCCGAAGATGATCATGGAACAGCAAATGGCTGCGGCTGGCAGTAGCGACTCAGAATCAGACTCTGACTTGAGCGATAGCACTAGTAGCAGTAGCAGTAGCAGTAGCGACAGCTCAACCAACTCTGACTCAGATTCAGATTCCGACTCGAGCAGTGACAGTAGTAGCGACTCGTCGTAGTCCCATTAATACAATCACATGAGGGTTTTGCCAAATTAGCTGAGCGGTAGCTGTTGATGAGTGAGTTTGCCAAGCACATTTTCAAACGAAATTGTTTAAACCGCTATCTGAATTTATAGAGCGAGATAGATTTCTAGTTGCCCTCAAAAGATAATGTACTACGGTAGTCATGATCATCCATCAGAAAAAGTGCTTTATCGGAACCTTGGATTTGTAAGAGGAAACGCTTTAAGATTGGTACGTCTCGATGTGGAAGCGAAATTGAATTCAATGTAGGCAAGGAGTGACTAGCTCACCATATCGGGCTCCGTGCTAGTGACTTTTATAACCATATCATCTCATGCGCGAGGAATACTTATTGTTTCATAAAAAATTAAAGCCGGAAGTACTAGTCGATTTGTCATAACTTCAACTATAAGATTACTTCAAGTCGAAACCATGTTTCGCCAAAGCATCAATTCAGCATCTAATATATTGGTTTTATCGTAAAAGCTGCAGTAGAATGAGATACGATCTGCTCTCTGCAAGGTTGGGCTGGATGCAAGCACAACCAACAATCTTTTGTGGTTAATTTTTGGATGGATAGGAGACGAATGCAGAGATTTAAGGGGGTTTGATGTTTAAGTTGTAATTCAATGCACCATTGCTATTGCAGCATGGTAATTGTATTGCCGCGTTCAGGCAAACTCCATCAGCATAGCCACTCCTGCGAGCACCCACTTGGCTGGCGGAACTTTCGTTCGAAGTGGTGATGTAAAAAGAAATGTCGGACCACGCTCTTGAGTCCTGTAAACTGGACACTCGTATACACGGATAGCTCCACCTTTGCCATCAATTCCAAATCCCCCTGTTTGATCTTTATTTTCTGTGTTGACGATAGCGCGACATGTGAGGACAGGCATTAAAGCGTACATCTCTCGCGGCAGACTAGACTCAAGTAAACCATTACCAAAATCCCAACGCGCACCTTCGAGATAAAGACCATGGATGTACTGGCCGTCACTTGCTGGTGCATCCACCGTATCAACGGTGCGTTTTGTTACATCCACTGTGATTCGCAGCGAGTCTAGCTCAATGTTGCGTTTGCGAGCTGCTGTTTGGAGCACTGCTGTAAGAAAAGCTTGTGGATGAAAAAGACCTGGCATCCAAAGCACTAGCGGCAAGTCAGGGGCTGACCCAATCCATTCCTGAAGCTGTGCTATACGTTGTTGTAATGTAGTCAACCATGGCGCAAGCGATCGTCGGGATAGACAGGCTGCAGTCAACCATTTATCCGGTACACGCTCATAGTAAAGGAGCATCTGCAGCTTTTCGGTAGCCTCAGTTAGTGGAATGTCACCACGGTACGCCATCTCCAGCTCTGACAACGAATCCGTCATGATCTCTAGCAAGTGATTCATTCGCTGGCACTCTTGAAGTAGTACTGTTTGAAAAGGATCCAGATTATCAACCTGTGGTTCATTCCTGGACAAGCAACTACCATCACTTTCATGCCGCGAAAAATTATCATCCTGCGAGCTTGAGGTGGAAGTTTCTTGAAACATTAATTCCTGAATGTCAAAGCGTAAGTCTCGATAACTTTCAAGAATATCTTGTAACACTCCCTCAGCTGCCAGCTGAATGGTATCGATAGTTTCCTTCACATCAGAATATTCACCGAGTTCCAAAACACCGACCTCTTCGTCACAGCTATCATCTCCTTGCAGATCTTCTTTCGATGTGAGAAGCAGCATTGATTGCAGTAGTTTTTGACTATTCTCGGTTCGAAATGCGACCTCAGCATTGGGATGCAAGCCAAAAGCAGTCGGGGTCTCATTCGTTAGTGACGTATTAATATGCTCAACAATGAGATCAAAACTAGCGGATAGCTTGGGTGCCAAAAAGTCACGACGATGCTGTGCCCCTCGTTTGGACACATCTCCTTTGTCACCGGCTGCACTGGAATCGCCACTGTGCTCACCTTCTTGTCCGCTACTTCCACCTCCGTTTGCAACATCATTGAATGGGAGCATTGAAAACTCTTCCAATAATTCGTCGCGTAAAAAGTATTGTAGATAGGTGGTAGCTACAAGTCGATCGAATTCGTTCACAATATGACCACCATACATTATCTCGCCAAACAAATATCGCAAATTCGACCATGGAACGCGTGCAGGAGCATTATCCATGTAATTTCGCAGAACTAAGCTACTTGCGAGCAGGTCACTGACGGCGAATGGATAAAGCATGTTGAAGCCCTGAGGGCCAAATTTTTTGCGCTCCAACATGAGCGAATGAAAGTAACAAAGAGCAAATAAGATACAACGTGTGCGCGGCTCAAGCTCATCAACGCTATCTTTTGAAAAGCAGCAAAATGCTCGTTTGACATTTGCACGTAAACCTGTCGGAGGCTCATTGGTAAGCTTGATCGACCTCTCCAAAATGCCAATCGGAATGTTTGTGGAAGGGTCACTGGTGAGAAATAAACGAAAGTTTGGGTGTAACATCACTGTTTCACAGGTTTCGTCCGTGCTCAAAACTCGAGCAGGTGGCGAGAATGGCAAGGGCGGACTCGTGCCAATGTCAACGACATCTTTACTGCTCGAGAGATTGCTTTTGAGAGTGGCATAAGCCGCAGTTCGACTTTCCTTGGCCAATTGCTCGAGCCATTTGTCGAGTTCCAGCATCCATGTTGGCATCAAGTGAACGTTGTTTAGAATCACCCAGTGACCATTTTCTACAGAAATTTGCAGCGTTCTCATGGCAATCTGCTCTTGGCCTTGACCAAGGGCTATATTGTGGTAATCAACGCTTTTAGCTCTTTTGTGTTCTTGCAATGCTAATTTATCTACATCGACCACGACGTCCGAGCCTGGAGAGAGAATGAAGTACATAGGCGTCCATGGAGAGCTTTCCTCAAATGCACTCTTTAATATTGCAAAACTGTTGAGCTGGCAGTCACAATTAAGAAACTGATTGCCATTGGGTAACGCGTGCATTATAAAAGTGCTCATTGCCTGGGTGAATCGATCAGGCCGCAGACACTTGACAATGAGCAGCTTTAAGAATGGCGCTGACTTATCCAGCTCACGCCAATCTAGCGGCAACTTTTCAAGCTCAGGGTTCGCCGAGTTGTACCATTCGCGAAAGCGCGGTTCTGACTCTTTCAGATCCGACAAGAAGCTTCTAAATGGAGGTAAAGTAATTAGCGCCTGGAGCGACTGCCACTGAGTCTCATTGAGCCATGAAATAGTATTTTGTGTCCCCACGACCTTTAAATCTTGCAGCAAAAATGATAAAAATTGTGGTTTATAGCCGCTGCTCGGAGCAATCATCCCACGTCGTAGCAACATGAACACCAATTGCGTCAGAAACAAAAACTTATGCTCTTCAACAAGACCCCGCGTCACCATTGAGAAGATTGTCCAGCGAAGAGCCTCCTTCATCATTTCTACTCGATCACGAGCAGAAGTATGATCACTTCTCACTCCTTTTAAGGCCACAAAGAAAAAAGTATTGTATGATTCGAGTGAGTAGCGGTACATGTGATTCACCTTGCACATCTGGCCCATTAAGAAATACATCATAGCCGCTTCGTTTGCAACTGGGCGGTAGACTTCACGAGCCATATTGATCTCGCGCTCGGCATCTTTACCTTTCCGCAATGCCTCAACAACGTCAAGTGCTGTTCGTTTTGATTTCTCAAGTCCTTCAATCAACAAAATATCAGACAGGATGTCATCCGGGGCATTTGACAGGCGCTCTAGCAAATCATTTTCGAGCTGAAGTAAGTGGATTTGATGTCCGTTAAATTCTTGTTGGAGCTGACATTTCTGTGTTTCCAAGTCAGGCTGCTCCAGATTGACAACATTTGCAAGCAATTGGTCCTCGAGCCCCTCTTCAGTGACGCTGAAGTCGATTAAGGTGCAGTACGCCAAAAGCTCGGGTCGGAAATGTGGGTTTGGAAGTTTCGTATGCAGGTGCAATCGGAAGCGAGGGTCTACCTCAACCTCCTCCGCTGCAAAGTGAAGGAACTGACTGCGTCCTTTTCTATAGATTTGCCGCATGATAACAGGTTCTAAAGACGGGTCAATTGTTTCGCCAAGATTTTCTATGATAACATTCTGCCCATTCGAGATTGCCTTCTTCAACATGTTTGTCCAGTTCTTTTGCGCAGGCTGTATTACTATTAGAGGCTGCTTTGCGTGCTGTATTTCGTCCTGGCGTTCAGCACTTTCAGTTTGCTGAGGCCGAAAGTCGTGTGCACGTAACCAGATCATTCCCTGTAACTCAGGATCAACAAGAAGCGGCCAGCGCTGACATGATGTGATAATACATCCATTCTCAATCGAAATCCGATCGGAGGGTAAACCTTCATTCATCCATTTAGCGACGTCACTGCTGTTACTGAGTACGTCTACTGGATCAACGCCCACATTATTACTCGAAGCGCTGGATGCGGATGCTGAAGATACTTCAGGTGAGATATTTTCATCGGTCATCAGCTCTCCTTTGACGTTGTTTTCAGCTTGATTTAAGCCGCTACCCGTCACGGCCACTGCAGGGGTTACAATCGAAATTGGAATCTCTCGGGTTATGATATCTGGCACCCAAGTGTTTTTCCATAGCTGAGCTCGGAAGCTTGCGTTAAAGGCACCGATATAGCTTACAAAGCTTGCTGCTAATAGCGAGTCACCAATCAGAGCATTTTTGCCAGCTTTCAAGACGTCGACCTCATAACACCATCGCTCCTTCTCTGATGCAAGTCCGTTCACGAGGCGTTCTGCAAGAGACAGTCGTTCTTGACACACTTGTGCTTCATCCTCTACTTTTGCTTTTTCAGACGTTGCCTCCCGAAAGGAAGCTTGCAAAGTATGAAGATGTTCTTCGACTTCTGCTACCATCTTCTGCACTTTAGCTAGCTCAAGATCTGCCTCAGTCTTGGTCTGACGAGCCTTATCGAGAGTATCCATCAGCGGCTTGACACGCAAAAAGATTTGGTGAAATGTAATGATATTCACGACCCAGACACACAAATTAGCGGCAGCTACCGACTTGCTCTTCATCTTGTCAAAATTAAAGTCTGGATCTTCTCTGATGAGTGGCTCTACTCGCGCAACAACATCAGGAGGGATATTTTCCTTGTCATATTGCTCCAGTGATTGCTTAAAGACATCTACCTTTGCCATCATCTTTTTAGCATTATCCCAGCTAAAATTTTTGGTCTCTTTCTTGATCATCATGAGGACTGCTGCTGTTACCTTTTCCACACCTGCAGGAGGTTTGCCCATTGATTTTAATTCGGTTAATGAAGCTTTATTGAGACAGTTCACAGCTTCTTGAGCAGCGTCTAAAGCAGGTTTGGCTATTGCAAGCTCAACGGAAGCCTGCGCTTCAATTCGTGAAGCAGCTTCAGCTGCCCTAGCAGCCTTGGCGCGCTCTTCATCGGCACGACGTTGCTTCACCTCTGCATCTCCACGCTGCTTCCCCATCTGGTCTAGCAGAAGGTCAGTTGCCTTTTTCCTTTCTTCCACTTGTTCCATTTTCAACTTGAGCTCATCCTGGAGTCTAGCGACATCAGATGAAGTCTTCTTTAGCGTGTGTATTCCTACTTCAAGACGGTGAATTTTAGAGGTTTGTGACAATCGTTTCGAAGCCAAAAGTGACTGGTAGAAGCGTATTAGCTCCAAGAATGAGGTCGGAGTCACGTAGTTCTGGCGTCCATACCTCTTCGCATATACGGTACAAGCCGATATTACAGACATGTGCAACTCAGCCATGTGATGACAAACGTTCTCTCGAATCGCACGTGAAGGCAGCTCAATATCCTGCAGAAAAGTGAGAGATACATCGACTAAAGCTTCTCTAGGCCATGGATGAAACCAGTCAATAGTGCAGCAACTGATCAACGACGGAAATTTTCTGCATCGAATGCGCAGGTCGCCCCCTATCGGAGAAAAGGCAAAGACAAGATGCAAATTGCTTCGTACCCTCTCGTAAAAAAATTCTTGAAGCTGCGCCTTTGTATCTGGTATTCCGTGTGCCTTTGCTTCCATTCGTAGAGGGACGATTATGGAATCCATTTCTTCGCTGGTAAACAAATTTTGAGCACTTCCATGTAAAGCGTCCGCCAAGGGCACCAAGAATTGGTTGTCAGTAATTTGTGAGTCCGTCAATAGCAGCACAATGGACTTTGCTGGACGAAGGCCCGCTTTACGATATATCTCTTTTAGGTCTTCTTTAAGGTCGTTTATCCCGTAAGAGGGACTAGCAGTAGTGGACAGCGATTCTAATTTGAAGCCAAGAATAAATGCTGCCAAGCGTGAGAGTGACTGCTTCCCTGAACCACCAACACCAATGAGCAGCGCATTTCCTCGTGGGCTCGCCAGAATACGCACAATTCGCGTCACGTGCTCCAAAGCTTGGTCAAATAGTACGAGGTTCATAACAGGATGCATCTCGTTGTACTCTGCCAACTTTTGTTCCAAACATGCTGAAAGCAGAGTTCTGCTTGTTACAGGGACATAATTGAAAGAAGATGGACTGTACTGATCTTCCGTTGACGTCGATGAGACACTTAAAAAGTTGACACAAATAAGCGGTGTCACAAAGATCTCGCTCTGGTCGTCCTCAAAATTTTTCTTTGTCTGCTCAACAGCCAGTTCAGTAAACCGCTGAATGTCGCTGTGAGAGCTCATTCGGTCGCTGAAGACGCGAAAGCACTCATGGATCCAGAGACGAGAAAATTGAAAAGTATCATTTTGATAAGCTTCAGGCCGAGCCATGAATATCCCTTGGAACAAAGAGCTTAAATCCCGCATATCGAAAATATACTGAAATTTTGTAGCAGTCGCAAGAAAATTTGCACGCACCTCAGTATACAGATCAATTGTTGCCATGAGAATAGAGGATGCCAGTTTCTTGATCTTGTCAGAAAAACCTAACAAATGCTGGTGTAGCAGCGTAGAGTAGATTGTCGTGAGATCAGATTTAGACGGCATACTAACACACAACGTTGAAAAATGACGATGAAGACGAGAGTTTATCGTAAATGATCCTGCCTTCTGGTTCATAGAGGCAAGAAATTGTACACCATCGATAAACATTTTAGTTGAGAGATCGTGACGGTCATACCACGATTTGTAATCCATGTATTGCCGTAACAATGCAAGGGCCGTTTGCGTTCCAAACTCTTCAACATAAGGCATATTTAAATCGTCCAGAAAATAAAGGAGTCTGCGGCTGCCGAGTGGTCCAAATACCCGACCCGATTTTTTCTCTAAATGCTGCTCTAGACGAGTTTGCAGCTCACGTGCATCCATGTAGTGATGCATGCTTATGAATGCATAGGTCGTGTCATCTTTCAATTCTTTCATGTGGTTTTGAATTAACGACGACTTGCCTGTTCCACTGGAACCTACTAGGATGGTCGGATTCTTCTTGCACATAAGCAAGTTCATAACCGAATGCAGTCGAGTAGATTCCACAGTTGGGACCAAGAGTGTATTTAACGGGACATCTGATACATTAACGAGGGATGATATTTTATCATTCCAGTGGCACAATTCATTCCGCGTGATGTCATAATACAAGTCGAAAAGATTCGCATTGCCACTCATCAGAGTCGTTGCACTACTTGAGTCAGCACTTCCCGAAGCCACTGAATATAAATTTAACTCGGAGTTGGTGGAAGTGGAGGTGAATTTGTAATTTGCTACAGCTTTAAAGCGTGCTGAAAACGCTGCACGATCATCTGTCCCCTTGTCACTTGCCAAACCACCCCCAAATGCCCACAATCCACAAAAGATGAAAGCATTCTCCAGAACATCATGACTTTTTATTTTTTCTGCGATCATACTCAATATTCCATCTAACAAACGGCACAGCATTTCGACCTGTGCAATGAGAACAACAGGCACGATCGACTCTGCTTTTGTTTCTTCCAGCGCCAAAAACATTTTGTCCACGTATTTTTTAAAAAGACTAGGTAGAATCAGCTTTTCAGCGCTACTTTCTCGCCGCTGCAACCAAGACTCAACTGCAGGATACCATCCGATGTGCCCCTTGTCCACGTAGATTATTCCTGCCCGTGATACTGTGGCTGGTGTGGCGTTTACGAGTGACGATATTTCAAAGATCAGTCTCATAGACGGTGTCAAAGGAATGCGCTCATTCGATACCAGCGTGAGCACCTTGTTGTCATCCATAACCGTATTCATACTTTCGATCCATACGGCATCAATATCACCGTCTAGAACAACCCACTTGTATGTCTGCATGTCGGTAAATGGTTGCACATTTTTTGACATGTTGCGCATGATAGACGACAGCACGCCGTCTTTCCAGTCGTTGTCCAGATTTGTGTATCCATAAAGTTCATCTGCTGTGATCGCCTTCGGGTTTACGCTCTCATAAACGGTTAGTTGCTTTGCCAGAGCATTTCCTTTGTCATCAGCATTATGACAAGCAGCTAGCGTATTCCATATAGTGCTTTTACCACATCCAGCGGGCCCGATAAGCATAACACTGTGCCGTACCTTAAGAGCTTCTTCGAGCTCCATCATTTTTCTAAAAAAGCCTTCTTCAAGCTGAAGCATCTTTTGCTCGCACACACGAGCAAATTTTGCTTGTAGAGCATCGTTGTTCATAGGTGCAGCCTTTTGGTGCGAAAATAAGTCGCAAAGTAATCCCATAAAGATCGGGTAGTCGGATAGGAGAATTCGTGGTGTGTTAAGGTCGCGAAGCACTTGCAGCAGCACTGTTTCTTCGGACAAGGTAGAATGTGCACGTCGCAGACTACCGGCGACTATTAGGACCGACTTAACAGAGCGTAGTCCCCAATCGTAATGTTTTTGTTTTGATAGTAATTCACTGCTTAGATCGTACAGCGTGACAAGCTTAACGGAAAGCTTGCGTGCCTTCAAAAAACCTTCGGCCATAAGCATGTTCTCACAAATAGGCTGCAAATCAGGTTTAATCATCGCACATGACCGAAACAAAGCTTTGAGATTCTCTGGTAACTCTGCTCGGCCAGCATAGCCGGGATTCATCGTAATAAAGAAGCCAACTGTTGGGATTAAAGCGATCGTTTTACCAAAGAATTCGCAATATCCCGTTTTCGGCATAGTTAAGGGCGGCTGGGTACTTCCATCCCCTCCATATGTACACATACTGTTGCTGCCTACAGATGATCCACGATCTGTCGAGGAAACAAGCAGTGCATTCGCATCAAGCACAGTCTTCACCTGAATCGCTACCACGGACAAAACCTCGATTGAGATTCGATTAAATTCATCAAAACATCCCCACGCGCCAGTTTGTGCAAGTCCACGGAAGATGTTCGCCATGGTCAAGTAATTCATTTGGTCACTGCAATTAAATACATAACATTGTAGACCCATCCCACGAGCAAGGTCTTTCGTCGTTTCTGTTTTTCCAGTACCGGCTGGTCCCGCAGGCGCGCCTCCAAGACACAATCGCAGCGCGGTTGTAAGAGTTACATAACATCGGTCGGTCAGAGGAGTAATGACCAATCGCCCACAATTGCCTGTATATTCGTAGCTATACAATGATCGAAAATCGCAAATTTTAATCAGCACTTCGTCAACCAGTTGGTCGTTGCTAGTCGATACTGGTGCAGTGTAGTAGCGCAGTTGTGACTGCCACTTAAAGTCCAGCGAGCTAGAGACGTTTTTTGTGATTAAAGACTGCACTATATCACGTGCATGGACGTCAACAGTTATAAGAGTGATAATTTTCTGGCGGTCCAACGCTCCTAGTTGACCTTGAACAAGTTTGATCAGCTCCTCCAATCGCACTGTTAATAATTCAAATTGCTTTTTGATAGCATCATCCGCGCCATTCTCAAACTCTTCCATTGCATTTTCAACTTCTTCGGTCCAGACGATTTGACTTCCGAGTAGAGCAACTTGCGCTGGGTAATTAAAGACCCACGCGTGGCGAGCACAGTCTGCCCCCCATTGGGCACTACTTTCGACTGCCTTGAAGACGTTTTGTCGTAAAGTGTCTTTCATCACAAACACAAGATCATTGAACCAGCTTTCAACTGCACCATGAATCAAGAGTGAGTCAGGAAAGTGTACTACTTCGCCTTCCTTTGATATCATTGCCGTCGCCAAAGATTGCTCTTCTACACATCTGATCCCAGTCATCTTTATGCCTGACACATTTTTCTCACAATTTGATTTTAGACGAGATTGGGTACTTATGAACTCAAAAGATTGTATGCCATCAAAGCAGCTTCCGAAGTGGGGCTGGATGCGGGGAGGAAATTTGCCGTTGGACAGTATGTCGAGTAATGTTGCAGTAGAGACGAAATAGAATCGCGGGAAAATGTCTTTCTTCCCATCTAAATACTGATTGAGAGCCTTTTGGCAAATCTCGAGCTCTAACAGTAAGCCACGAAGTACGGCTTCGCGACCCTCACGCTGACAGCAAGCGACTATCACAGATGGATACATTCTGAGATCTGCAAGAAGCTCTTTGATTGCCTGATCAATACGCTTGAAGCGTTGGTATTCTGATGGTAATTGTTGTTGAATGTCGCCTGCAGAACTGAGGAAGATGGATTCCAAACTGCACCATTGTCGCTGCAATGTAATCCACAACTTCAAAATTGCATCAACGTTGCCTAAGCGCAACTGCCATTCAAAAATCTCATCTTTAAAATGGGCAACAGAATTTTCAAGAGCAGCCATAGTTTGCAGTTGTAGCTGGTGCTCTTCGAGGCACTCAAGTATGATATGAGGCATTTTCACGATCATTATACTACCCTTCATTTCATCAGCTTCTGTCTCAGTTGAGATAATTCTACTTGCAGTGACATCAGAGTTATCACTATTGCCTTCAACTGAAATAGACGACTCATGATCTTGACCGTGACTAGACAAAGTCGTGCTTTCAGTTGTTCGGTACGGTACAAACTCGAGCTGATGTCCGCTCCACGCTGCATCGATTGACTGCAGCTTTTGCTCGATCTTGAATTCCCTGGATGCCACCTCCACCAGTTCACTAACTTCATTTACAAATCGATGAAGTTCCAGCTTTAGAATTTCTTTGAATTGCAATGAATTGTCCCCTTTGCTGCCATACTTAACAGCTTCTGAGTCCGTAACGATTTTCCCCACCGCAGAATTGCTAAAAGAGTTCATTGCAACCAAACTAGACAAATCAAAGTGCTTATTCGTAAGCATCATCAGACTTTTCCAGTGTCGATCGCGCATAGCTGGAGAATGCAAATGCTTAGCCACAGGTAGAATAACGGTCATTTGGTGCAGCTTCTGCTCGAGATACTCATAAACAGGCCATCTCTTCACGGCGCGAGCAGATGTAAACAAAGTGTTGCGCTGATGCTCGATCTCATCAATTTCTTCAAATAAGACGTCAACATCCAACTCGCTCCAAAGTAAAGGTTGCCACTTGTATACGTAAATTGAGTCCAGAAGCGCGACAAAGTCCCAAATGTGCTTAAGCGTAACAAATTTGACGCGGAGCGTGGTCAGCACTTCGAATTCGCTGAATCCAACTTCGAAGATATCTTTCAGCTCCGAAAGTCTTAAAGCTTCCTTTTCAATTTGACAGAGCTTGGCGCTGTATGCATCTAGTTGACTATATACAGTAGCTATCGATTGCCTGTCGGAAGGAGCCTGAATAGGTGCAACGATCTCAAAATCCTCTTCTAAAGCATGTAGGCGCCTGTTAAACTCTGCCACTTCTTGTCGTATGGATTCCATCTCTTGATTTTGTAACGGCTGAATCATTTCCTTTCTCTTGAATGTCACGCTTACTAATTTCTCCCACCTAAGTGGCGCTTTCTCTAAAAACGTTGCCACATTTTCCTTGCCAACGTACGACAAATCCAGAGCAATGCCATGCGTCTTAAGTAGTGCAACAATTTCCTTTAACGGTTCAAAGTTCATCAGCAAGTTTTCACGCAACAAAAGGCGGACGTCACGGATGTGCAGCATACACTGCATCAGCAAAGTAGTCTTCCTTTCAGTGTTCACACCTTCAAAGTCAGCTTCCAGACCAATTCTAACGTTCCGCATGAAGTTGTCAGCCCACACAAGCTGATCAAGGACTCGATCGTGCAAAAATTGTGTGAACAAATACACCCACTTTGTCACCCAAGTCGCCAAGGCCTGCTTAATCGGGAGACAATTCACACGCACAAACCCTACGTCTTTTATAGGCTTTGATTCGGAGATCTCATTTTGCAGACATAGAAAAAAGCTAATTCTTTCTTGGAAACGTTTGAGATCAAGCAGCTGAGCAGGAACCGGAGGAGGTACATTCATAGCAGAATGAGTATTATGAATATTACTCTCCAACTTAGAATAGCTCAAATCCTTTCCTTTAGACTTGGATTGTAGGGATTTCGGCGAAGGCAGATTGTCAGCGTAAATAATTTCGCCACGAAAAGCCTTGTCATCTTTCTTCGGAATTAGGAGCCATGCCGTTGATAAAAAAAGATGAAACATCTGCGTCAAATCCGTCGTCCATAAATATTCATACTTTGTGTGCGCATGACGATACGCAGCACAAGATTTGTTGTTCTGCTCAATAAATGACCGAATATCTGCTATGATGACACATATTTGCATGTTTTCTTGCATATTATTCAGGTAAGTACCTCCAGAGCTGTCCAGCCGCTTAAGAAGTGTGGAACAATTGACAATCGCTTCTATTCGTCGCATGATGAGGTCTTCTAAGCTAGATTTTGCCGACGTGCTTTGAATGGGCGGAACATAGACGATGTCTTTACCAAACAAATGTAACTCTACTTCGAGCAAGGCCGGTATACCGTCGGTCTCAAAACGATTTGGGTCCATTTGCTCCTTTAATTGGCTTAGAGATTGAACAATCACTCGTGTTAGCCCATCTTCCACCATTTTGCTGACGTAGTCAACGTAAGCCCTCCAATCAGGACTTCCTTGCGCTACACGTACAAGCTTCAAGATACTCTTTAGCAGATTGTGAATTTCGATGCCCCCTTCCCTAACTTCATGGTACTTTTGATGACACAAAGTCGTCTGTAGCTGTTCGAATTGTTCAGCTGATAATGTTGTATTTTGCCACTCGAAGAGCAGAGGTGGTATAGACCAGATTTCCAGTAGCTCGATGACGCGGTTTCGATGCGACTTTAGCTGGCTCAGCAATGTGTTGATTTCGTTTACGGCAGCCATCGACTCTTTCAAATATACGTCGATACCATGGGACTTCCAGTTTAGAGCTTTGATGCCTTTGTTTAATACTTGATCCATTCGGTCGATATAGCTCCTTACAAGAGGTCTTTCAACGGGTAAAAGGGTCAAGTGGATGGTATTATACATATCGACAATCAATTCCAAATTTCCAGTTTGCCTTTGGAATACTTCTGCGCGTTTGTATATCTCCAATGCATCCTCTGGAACATTTACTTGAAGCAACAAAAAATATTTCACTTCGCGTAACAACTGCACTAAAGCAACATCGAAGTTGACAACCAACCGACCTATCCCGAGCTGAAATTCTTCAGTTTGTGGTCGGTGCAAACTCGGGCCGTCTGCATTTGTTGTATCGGTATTGACAGACTCAGAAGCAAATTCACGCCTCAAAAGTGGAAGCTTGAGTTTTGATTTTGAAGAAGTTTCAATGGAAGACCCCCACTTTTGGACATTTTGAGCCTCATACTCTTGCAGCATCACCATCATGTTTGTGTACAATTTTATTATTTCTTTAGATTCCTCGCGCTCAAGAACGTTACTTGGAGAGGTTTGTCTAAGCTTTTCCATAGGAGATTTGATTCGCTCCATAAGTCCACGACACCACGAAACTGCACCGGCAAACGGTGGGTGATTGGGTGATATAGGCGGATGATCACGGTTCTCGATGAATATTTGTTGCACCACTTGAAGTTCGCTTGCGTACGATGTGATCAGCGAAGCATGCTTCCTCTCAAGTTCGTTATTTATTATTTGTCGATCAAGTAGATCTTTGAAGTAGCTCAAACACTTGACACGTCCCGCGATTGTATTCGCATCGTCAAAAGCTTGATGTATCACAGATGCTAACCGTCGTTCCAACTCTTTTATTTTCAAGCGGAAGACATAAAAGTCGTTTTCGAAATCTCTGGCATCGATGTCCATGAGGTTATATTGTACATTCTTCATCCGCGCAGACGTTTCTTCAAAATCTTTATAAATTTGGTGCACACTTGCCGTTAGTGTTCTACCCTTAGTACCTCCAATTTCCATCTGTGCAAGCTTCTCAAATTGGCAAATAGTTTGAACAAGCTCTAAAACATCGTGACATCTTTCTAGAAAAGCATCCAGACGAAAAAATAACGCATTATTCTGAACCCGCCACTGATTTTTCGGTACTTCCGTCATAGATCTTGCCTTGTAGTCAAAGTAGACACTTTTAAAATGAGCACACATTTGTAGTGATTCGTACAGCATCAACTTAATTTTTTCCGGCTCGCCTTGTTCAATGAGCTCAAACACTTTTTCGCCATTGAGGTGCAGCGTGGCCTTTCGAATAATTTCGCTGCAAATTTGTCGAATCAATACAACAAGGCGAGCCGAGGTATTATAAAATTGACTTGACTTCCAGATCAGAAAAATTAAATGGCAAATGGGTCGCAAAAGATTTTGAACCTCTACCAGTGTTTGTGCGCATGCTAGCTTTTCGAACCACTCCGCCAAAGGCCACAAGTAGAGTTTATTATTGTTGGCTTCAGCTCTAGCGAGAAATACCTCCTTGCATAGCTTTGCAAACGGAATATTGTAGGTACTCTTTGACGTGTCGAGATACCGCAAGACTTTACGGATATTTTCAGACTGGAGTTGAGCAAAAATTGAATTTAAGTTTCTAGCTTTGGTAGCCCAAAAGTTAAGCTCTTCCATGGGACCATGCTGTGCATAGCCCCGTTGATTTAACAGAGATTCTGGCTCTTGATTAAGAATGCTTTTGATCTGCTTGGTCCAAGTGATGAGACATCCTTCTAAACTATGTACGTAATTTCTTCCCTGTCGGTTTATTGAATTATAATCTGTCGTATAAGTAGATGATAATAAATCGGCTGCATCTTCTCTAGGAATCGACTTAGCTGCACTCTCCATGATTGCCCCATCCCATGGTAGTGCAAGACAAGTAGCCCCTTTTGTCTGTCCAAGCGTTATTTGTAAATTCGAAAAGAAGCCATGAGCTTTGGCAATTATTGACGTTGTGACCATCTCTGGCCACATCGCCTGATTCCGCGGGTTTCCGAGTAGTGGCACATAGACATCGCGCAACATCTGTGCTAGTGACTCAAGAGCGTTTCTTTCTAAAGTTCCTGACATGATTTCGTCATCAAATTTGGTTGTACTCACGGCTGCCTTGACCGTCTTGAGTACGTATAAGACCGTGACTGGCTTCCGATTCTTGGGCTTAGGAGTGACATCGAATAGCTTTGCAGGCGGCGAAGCATACACGTCCACGGAACCACTGTGATCATCTCCAAAATCTGTAAATAGTAGCAGTCGCGCATCGGGCACATGCAAAAATTCGAACAATCTTGTAGCCACGACGTCCGTCGCAAACTTGCGATCCAATTCGTCGCTCTTGACATTTGGGAATGTGCAGAACACAAGATGGCGAAAAAATTCAATTCTCAGATCGTCCTGTGGTTCATTGGGCACCAATTCTGACGCCAGCGGTGACGTTGACTTGGTCCATGCCCTATCCGTCTCCATGACGCTACTTTCAGTGTGAAAGATCGCTGCGCCGCTTTGGGCTGACAGGGTAGACCATGAAATTTGTATTTAATAGAGCGTTATACAGAATTGGTCAAGTTTTTGATCTTGTATTTGGACAATGAACCACGTGATATACTTATGACATTCTATTGGTCCTCAACGCCCCATTATTAATATTGGCGATCAGAGGATAATGGCAAAGGCGGTGTGCACTCTTTACGGCGACGACGCCACCGTATATGGCTCATTGGTGATTACACAGGCACATGAAGATGCTAAATGCGTTATTACAGGAGAGCTAAAGAAACTATCCCCCGGCAAGCACGCGCTGCATGTTAATGTGTTCGGCGACGTGTCGCAGCCCGCAGGTGCGGCCTTGGGTGGTGTTTTCAACCCATTCGGCAAGAATCATGGCGCATCTGATGACGCAGAGCGTTGCGTGGGATCACTTGGAAATATTGAAGTTGGTGAGAATGGGAATGTTCAAGTTCATATTGAGGACAAACTCGTGAAGCTTATCGGTCCGCACTCCATCATTGGCCGCAGCATTGTGGTGTACGAAGGTGAGGATGACCTAGGAAAGGGAGGCCATGAGCTGTCGCTACAGAATGGAAACGCTGGTCTTATCAAGGCGTTCGGCGTCGTAGGCATCTCCTGCTAGTTGATCGATGAATGAAGTTGACGTATCAGAATTATTAAAAGACTGGTTGGTATACATCCTATTCAGAAAGTAAGGAATGTACTGGACACATTGTCTTCTCGCCATCAGCTTCAATTCCCTTAAATATAGCGATGTTCTTGCGCAATCAAATATAATTTTGAAGCTACACGCACTTCCATCAGGCATGACTGCTATTATGCTTAAGCTCGTGCATGTTTTTGGAAGTCTTTTCTGGAAATGGAGACGGTGGCGCGCTCATCGACATGCTGGATTGATTGTCACCCCTTTGGCTTCTACTCTTTTTCTTAAGCTTACGTGTTAGAGCATTGAGCAAAAGCTCGTTCTTTCGCAGATCGGTCGCCATCTGGGTATTTTCCAGTTTCTTGCGCGCCAACTCTTTCTCCATATCCTGAAAACGTTGACCACGCTCGCTTTTCTGATAGTTGTGTACGTCTGTCAATTTCTGCTCAAGCTGCTGCTTCTCGCGAATTAACTTCTCCATCTGCTTGTGCAAGTGAAGAGCCTCCGCTGAAGGCTCCAAAAGATGCTCCTGATTCTCCTCTTTCAGTCGTGTGACTTCTCCCACGGGCATAAAATCCTTCAATTCCATGACGACAGGAGGCAATGCAAGTCTCGTCTGCTCCTGCACCTTAGCTCGTGCGTCCACTTCTGCTTGACGGCGCGCATCAATGAGTACTTGCTCCATCCTCGGGACTTCGCCCAGTAGCAATGCCTGGAAACGCTCGGCGTACGAAAGCTTGGTCGCGTTTACGATTTCGTCACTGACGTCAGGATTATCCGTGTTGCCGGCCCCTGCCTCCAATGCCAGAATGCCAGTTTGCTGGACATGTGATGCTGGTTGCTGCCTCGCCAACATCAAGACTCTTACCACTGCATCGATAACACGCTTGCCCATCGCATCATCTACCCGCTGCACATAAGGATGACCAATTTTCATGTATTGGCTAAAAAGAATGCGCACAATAGCAACGAGACCCGCGCGAGAAGCCAAATTTTCCGTCATGTTTGCCAGGAAGCGTGTCACCCTTGACACATGCTTGACAGTCAAATACGAGTGCACAAGCTGCTGGCTGGCGTAAGCTGCAAAGGTCTGCAACAAGTGTAGCTCCAAATCTGACTGACTGGGATTTGCCAGCGTTGAGACTCGTTTGTTACTGGAAACTGGTACTATAGCGGTGGAATCTCCGCGAGAGGTTGGAGGTGGTGGTACATCATCAGTCGGCAATGTCATCATAATGGAACTTAGGTGAATGCCCAACGGTTTACTCAATGTTGCTTCTCCCGGGACACGACGGAAATTACTTCTTGAAAATTTTTCTTAACAAACTTCTTTTGTTAAAGGAATAGGGTGCTGCAAGGCAATAGTGTGTGCCGATGTTGTCACAAATTGAGGGGTTGTTGACATAGCTTTACAATCAAAAATGAAAACACTGGTTAAAGCCGTAGGATCTCATGTAGCACGCTAGGAATACTATTAACTGCTAAGAATATCGTCGGCTGGGGATGACAACGTCTCATGCTCTCGGTAGCTATGAATTTGCAGGTTATCACTCATCTTCATTGCTCGATTATCAAGCTCGTTACCAGTCGACGTTACTTCAACTAATCATTTTTACAATGCTCAAGTCATTTTTTTTCGGAATCACTTTGACTGCTGCTTCGATTTCGTTGTCTAGAGCAACGTGCGCGGAAGGCGAGAATCAGATGAGTGTCGAGGGTGTTCGAGGAATATTTTGTGTAGCAGGTGATCCCTGCATTGCTACTTTCAGCACTGGTGCCTGTCCTGCACCTCAAGTGGGTTTGCCCAATGGTTCGTACTGCGGCGTCGTTGCGTCCGGCGTGTACGGTTGCAAAATCAATAGCAGCGATCCGACGATGTCTCCTCTACCTACTGAATCTCCATCTTCACAGCCCACACCACAGAATCGTACTCCAGGGCCGACGACAGCTGATCCCGTTCCGACCATTTCTACCAAAAATTGTGAAGGAAATGGTACTCGAGTGAGCGTCCAGGGCCTGAAGGGGTCCTACTGTGTTGATGAACCAGTCTGTGTGCAAAATGTTTCCACGGGCAATTGTCCCGGTCCTCAGGACGGACTTCAGTTTGGCTCGTTTTGTGATTTACTCAAGACGGGTGTTTACGGTTGTAGGCAATACACGGCATACAATGTGAAGACTAATGTTACGTACGACGCTCCTTTGGATTGCTCTAACAACGCCGCAGGTGATACGCCGGTGAGTATTGTAAGTGCTGCCCAGGACTTTTGTGCTCCAAAACCTGTATGCGCCGGGACTATCTTCGGCAATTGTCCTAAGGTCCAAAATGGTTTAGCTCAGGATTCGGAGTGTATGGTCATCGACGAAAGTGTTTATGGCTGTGTTTTCATGGCCAGCTCTTAAATGACAAAGCTTATGAACTGTTTTCCATTGTTAACAACAAACATATTAAGACGAAATTGATTGCTACATGCTCATTTGGTTTATCTTGTTGTAAATCAGATCTTAAGACATCAATAAACTGTAAAGCTTACTCGAACTTGCATACTGGACACTTGCAACCTGTGCAAGGGCAATTACTCGACGGACAGTCACATGCAGGGCATTTGGGTGTAGTTACGCGCTTCCCAGAAGAATCATATGCACGATAGCCGCATTTCGTGCATGAACAATTCCCGCCAGGACACTCACATCCAGGGCATTTTCCGCTTGCAACACGTTTCGCAGCGGCAATGCATGCACTACCACATACATTTGTTGATGACGTAGCTGATTTTATCGGAGGCTCAATTTTCGTGGCAGCTCCACTCTTGCTTGCACAGACTTGACACTCGCAATCCTTGCACGAACATTTGTCCGCTAATGACCCACATATCTTACATGAATCATGACTATGATGCGATCCAAGCTTCTGCTTATCGCCCTCAGCTCCACCAACGGTACTACAACTAGAGGATGCTTCAACTTTGCCAATCTCGTCGTGACCACGCACAAGATCCCCCTGCCCTGACTTGTCTTCCTTCAGATTATGCTTTACGCGTGACGTTGTTCCGACCGCCATCGAATTGTAAATTGGATATTTGATAAGCTGGTGGTGCATTATCGTCTCATATGCGACGCAAGTTGCATTTTTTCGTTTAGTTCAACTAGGGAAACTACAATTCAAGAAGTCCAAAAATTTGGTAGAGGTCTTCTATGATCTTGATCTTGCAAGCTATTGATCTACATCATAATATACGCTTTTTCTGTCTAATGTGCAAGATCTCGGGAAATTAGATGAATATCAATAAGCCCTTCCGCAACTGACTTTCAGTGTCTTCCAAAGGATTTCCTCGGAGCGAGATCCTCAGAATGTACACCTTTTGTTTCTAACAACTTTCTAATACATCGGCAACGGTTTGATGGCTTTCAAATTACACATACCGTGTCCCTAATCTAACGGTGCAATGTTACTCGTTTCTGAGGAATTGCCACGTCCTTGCCGTTATTATGCAAATGCGAGAACAACGAGATAGTGGGGAAAAGGAGTCATGCACTCTTTTGACATCTCATGGCAGTGATTTATATCACGCTAATACTTTATATACAATTGTCTGAACAGCTACAACTTTCGAGCTTTGACCATTTTTGTATCTAATTGGCTTCAGTGTCATTTAAGCATTTGCTTGATTATATAGCACGGCTTATTGTGTTCGTAAGCTTTTTTTTGCCTCAGAAATTAACTTACTTAAATAATTATGATAATATACACTGTAATTAAGCATGGACAAGTTCTCTTACCCAGAATACTACGATTTTCCTCCGTTCTTCACCCTCCAGCCCGTACGCGACACGCGTGAAAAACAGCTAGTGCTGTGGCAACAGCTAATACTAGAGTATCACCGTGCACATGCCCTGCCGCTCTTCCAGCCACTCACGTCAACTCTATTCGAGAACGTAAAAATTTCGAGAAATATGGCTCATGATGGGCGCATGGCCGTGGTTGAGCACCTGATCCGCTGTGGCCATGGACGCTGGGAGGACGACACAAAGACGCGCTGCCGTATTATGTGGAAGAAACCTGTCGAATGGGCTGCCGAGATTTATGACTTTGTCAGTATAATATTTAATGGAATGATATGTCCAAAACTAATTGATTCCATGTTGTAATATGTTGCCATCATTATAGGCCAAAGGTAACGGCATGTTGGGCAATGTTTTTACTGTTTATGAGCTATACGCAGGAGAGGAGACGGTCGGCTCGAGTGAGATAAACAGATACTTTGGACTTTGATAACTTGACTCACAATGAAGTGGTGTAGGTATCCATGGAATGGAACCGTGGTTGCTGCGCGAGGCGTTGCGAGTGTTGGAAGGAGAAGGAAAGGTATGTCAGTTTGGCTAGTTATGAAAATGATCATTTGAGCTAATTTTTGACGATGCGTCAGGCTGCTGTGATCGCCGGAGAAACGTGTGAGGAGGACGGTGTGAAGTTCCTGGCTACCGCGTAGATATTTCTCGTACCAAACGTTGCAACACAATGATACTTTAGTGGTGATAGATGATTAGGCGTTTATCTGACAACCAAGCTGAGTGCACCAAAGCCGCCATTGCTGTGACCTCTTCAACTAACTCAAACGCCATATATACACGATCAACAGAGTTCGTCTCGCGCATACGCAACAACAAGAATGTTATTCTTAAAATACCACTTTTGACAGCTGAAAAAGGATATTTTCTCCTTTTATTTATTCACATCGTTCGGCCAATTTCTCCATAGATTATGTAGATATGCAGTAAACAAACGCAATATATCAATCCTTAACCTTAGGAGCTGCAGCGGGTCTACCGTAGCTCTTTCTTATAGCTCTTTGCTTAGATAGAGCTAAGCGATCTTACGTTTTATACTAGAAACAGTATGAGTGTAGCGGGTCGCAATCCACTACCTCCAAGAGTACCCGAGACCTTAAATCAAGGCAAATACATCCTTCCGTTCAAAATCTAAACTGCATTTCTTTTGTTTGATTTGCGGCAGCGCCGTCTATATCTAAATTTATAATCAAAAAGTAAATGTAATGGGGTTACACGTACCCTTGTATGAAAGGGTAGATGAAGTGGCTATACAAAGGTGTAAATCACGCAAGTTGGTGTAATCACGCAATGGTGTGGCTACACCTGCAGGTCTGCCAGTAGTTATGCACATTATTTAGATTTTTCTTACTATTTAATCAGGAAAATCTAACATTTTGGCTATAGGCGGCTTTGCCGCAAATTAAACAATTAAATACAGCTTCGATTTTCAATGGAAGCATGTATTTGCCTTGGTTAAGGATTTGGGTACTCTTGGAGGTAGCGAATTGCGATCCGCTACACTCATTCTGGTTCTGGTCGACAACGAAGTCTGTGACCTTGGCTTAGCTTCTCATTAGAAAAGAGCTACGGCAGCCCCGCTGCACTTGGTAGCACTCGTAGTCAATATACGCCTTAGTCGTTACGACTGATCCTCTATGAGGATGACGCAATTCTCCTATTAACCCCAAGGCATGCAGGACGGGCTTGATAAGCTGATGTCCCTTCTTGGCCCTGAGGACCTGGAACACCTTGTTTCGCAAGGATCCGAAGCGATAAATGCGCGTATCGAACTATACAAATGCTATGCTAGAGAACCTAGAGAAGAAGATGTCGACATCGACTGCGTCCATGACACAACCGTCAACGACGGATGACTTCTCCCAACTGAGGACGCTCATCGTGAAAGTTAAGATCTTCGAGGGTGAGGATGGAGAGAATCTTCTACTCTAGGTGAGAGAGGCCGAGATGGCTATGGCATCCGCCATGCTCCAGAACGAGCAACAGCGCGTGGTGCTAGCTATCTCCAATCTCGGGAGCCGAGCGCGTGAATAGGCACTAACGTGCGGTGCTTCGGCTGAAGCTGGGAATCCCCCTGGAAGAAGCAATGCGTCAGCTTTTGCGAGCATTCTCGTCGCCTAACCAGGAATATCGCGTGCGATCGCGTTTCCTTACTACCCGACAGATCAATAAGGAGTTGGTGGACTTTGTCCAGGCGTTGAGAACTCTTATTGCTGGAATGGCAGCCGATCCTCTCCCCGAGGCGGTCACAGTGACCTTTTAAATGGAGGGCCTCCGCACTGGCGTGGCCAGAATGGAAGTCGTCCTGGTGCATCCGTCTTCTTTCGCAGAAGCGGTGAATGTGGTATTGAATGCCGAATATAACTTTTAGTCGGCACGATTTGGTTGGAATGCTCGTCGAGCGGGCCTAGGCCAATGGATCTCAGCTGTACTGAGAAAAAGGAGGGAAGGCTACGAGCTGCCGAGCAGCGTTTTATCACCCAACGTTGTTTTTTATGTTGAGAACCCCGTCACCTTCAGACTGGTTGTTTGCGCAAGGTGAGTCAAGTTTAATCGAACCGACGTCTAGCTTTTAATCAGCCTGATTTGTCGTGGGAAAACGAGGGAACCAAGTAGGCGCGGGGCGCCCTAATGGAACAGAACTCAGTTCTGTTCCCTTTGAGGTAGGGACCAGCCCCGAAGAGCGTCGTGCTCTTGATCACGGAACGTGTAGGCAAGTCGGGCTTGCTTGTCGTAAAAGCGACCGTGAAGGGCTTTGAGAAGCCATGGAAAATTCTTATCGATTTCGGGGCGTCCGGCAATTATGCTCGACGCTCCGCGATCGAAGAAAGTCTGATGTATGCTGAAAGCTCCGTTGAGTGACACCGTCACTGTTCGCTTAATGACGGGGACTTGCGTCACTGTGCCGAGGGTCCCTGTGGAGCTCGATGTCAAGTTTCTTAATTTTGATGGCGTGGGACGCTGCCTAGTTTTAGACTTGGATACTAGGTATGACTTCTTCCTTGGTATGTCATGGTTTGAACATCGTGAGCCATGAATGATTAAAGGTGGAAGAACTTGGGCTATACGCGCAGGAGCTTTGGTGAGTCATGAACTCACCTCTGTTAGGAAGCAGAAGCGCTATTGGCGCGAATACTGGACCGGAAAAGTCAATGCGCTAGATAGTAAAGTATCCGAATAGTCGAACACCGAGGGTGTATCGGACGAGAGTCCCGAGTATGGCTCCC